TCTGTTCTTATCACTTTAACATCTCATATGACCTCTCAGAGTTGGTTTTCAGAGGATGAACTCAATATAACAGATATTTTCCATGTCTTATCATCCTACAATACTAATTTGACTACTGAAAACCAGTTTATTTTGTTATTAAATACATGATGTAATGGAGATTGAGATCGCCAGAATGTAACTAAATATGGGTTTGTTCTGCACTGTAGCCAGTTTGGGGTGGAGAGAATTATTCATAAGATTGTTTAAATATAAAGGTTTACTTGAGCAGTTAGTGTTGTGTAAATATCAGCATGCCTGTTTGTATCGTTAGGCATGTGACCAACGCCTAGTTCTGGTATCCACTAAAAGGATCTAAATCATTTTTTGTGTATCTTGGATGTTAATAACTCAACCAGTCATTTTAAATAAGTGCCTGGAATAAGATTAAGTGAATATCTCTCTTACCTTTTCATATTCCAAGTTATCAATCATTCAGAAGTTACTGTATGTTTTATGTTCTTATGGAGGCTAAGATACCGGCTGTAAATTATTTTTGCCATCATAAATGAAGTATTTATACAGTAAATTGTTACAACTTACTAATGTCTATAATTATTTTGATTCAGTACAATTTGCCATCATTAAATCCATTCGTTGCTTCAGCCATTAATGCAGAATGGAGTATTAATTGCTTATGAGGAGATAGAATTGCTTAACTGTAACCAAGGAGAAGTAGAGAAGCTTGTGTAAAAGGTCTGTTTTTGGCGCTAAGGATACAAATTTGTCTTTGTCCTTTTGATTGACAGGATCATACCCAACTGGCTAGGAGAGGCTCAGTAGTGGTAATAGTTCACTAGAGACCAAAATAACAAACTTGCGCAAGGGAACAAAGAACAAACCCAGTAGTTATCAGTGGGTGTGCCGCAATAGGATGGAAGCGTCCTAGAGGGACAGATACTCAGTCCTCATCCGCTTAACTTTTTTTAGAATTGATATTCGTGAAATGTGTTGAACTGACCTACCTGGAAAGTTAAGTCATCTGTCTTAAGTACAGGTACAGCATGGGCAATACAAATGCAAGTTTCTGCCCCAACACTGGCTTATAGAGAGACTTTCTTTTAGGGATGAGTGGATAGTTCAGTCCTTACTTTCCTATTCTGCCTTGCTGCTAAGGGGGTAAATTGGTGCCAGTGGTGGCTTTTGTGGTATGGACAACTCTCTATTCTTAGCTGGACTGAGACTGCCAAACTTGCTATATTGTCTAGTGGTCAGAGTATTTCTGATCCTGAGGAGATCCTTAAATCTCTGAATGCTGACCTGACTTCTTACTCATGTTTACGGTCCCATAACTCTACAAAACCCAGATGTGATGTTACAAACAGAGGATGACTGATTTTTAAATAAGGAGTAAGCAACAGAAGACCAACTGTTAATGAAACAGACCTTGTTTTCTTGCAAATGTCTCTTCTAATAAACAATAGACAGAAATAAAATACAAAACAAATGGTATTGTTTGTAAATAATATGTATTTTGAAAAGTTACAGGAGACATCAACAGCAAGCTAAGAATGCTAAACAAGTGATATGGTATGGAAGTGGTTCTCAATCAGGGGTACGCAGAGGTCTTCTAAGGGGTACATCAACTCATCTAGATATTTGCCTAGTTTTACAACAGGCTACATAAAAAGCATTACCAAAGTCAGTACAAACTAAAATTTCATAGAGACAAAATGAGAAAATAAGCAATATGTCAGTAACAGTGTGCTGTCACACTTTCGTATTTTTATGTCTGATTTTGTAAGCAAGTAGTTTTTAAGTGAGGTGAAGCTTAAGGTATGCAAGACATATCAGACTCCTGAAAGGGGTACAGTGGTCTGGAAAGCTTGGGTATGTCTACACTACGGAATAAGGTCGAATTTATAGAAGTCGGTTTTTTAGAAATCGGTTTTATATATTCGAGTGTGTGTGTCCCCACAGAAAATGCTCTAAGTGCATTAAGTGCATTAACTCGGCGGAGCGCTTCCACAGTACCGAGGCTAGAGTCGACTTCCGGAGCGTTGCACTGTGGGTAGCTATCCCACAGTTCCCGCAGTCTCCGATGCCCATTGGAATTCTGGGTTGAGATCCCAATGCCTGATGGGGCTAAAACATTGTCACGGGTGGTTCTGGGTACATATCGTCAGGCCCCCGTTCCCTCCCTCCCTCCGTGAAAGCAAGGGCAGACAATCATTTCGCGCCTTTTTTCTTGAGTTACCTGTGCAGACGCCATACCACGGCAAGCATGGAGCCCGCTCAGGTAACCGTCACCCTATGTCTCCTGGGTGCTGGCAGACGCGGTACGGCTTTGCTGCACAGTAGCAGCAATCCATTGCCTTCTGGCAGCAGACGGTGCAATACGACTGGTAGTCGTCCTCGTCGTGTCCGAGGTGCTCCTGGCCACGTTGGCTGGGAGCGCCTGGGCAGACATGGGCGCAGGGACTAAATTTGGAGTGACTTGACCAGGTCATTCTCTTTAGTCCTGCAGTCAGTCCTATTGAACCGTCTTATGGTGAGCGGGCAGGCGATACGGACTGCTAGCAGTCGTACTGTACCATCTTCTGCCAGGCAGGCAAGAGATGAGGCTTGCTAGTAGTCGTATTGTACCATCTTCTGCCAGGCAGGCAAGAGATGAAGATGGCTAGCAGTCGTACTGTACCATCTTCTGCCGAGCAGCCATGAGATGTGGATGGCATGCAGTCCTTCTGCACCGTCTGCTGCCAGCCAAAGATGTAAAACATAGATGGAGTGGCTCAGAACAAGAAATAGACCAGATTTGTTTTGTACTCATTTGCCTCCTCCCCTGTCTAGGGGACTCATTCCTCTAGGTCACACTGCAGTCACTCACAGAGAAGGTGCAGCGAGGTAAATCTAGCCATGTATCAATCAGAGGCCAGGCTAACCTCCTTGTTCCAATAACAACGATAACTTAGGTGCACCATTTCTTATTGGAACCCTCCGTGAAGTCCTGCCTGAAATACTCCTTGATGTAAAGACACCCCCTTTGTTGATTTTAGCTCCCTGAAGCCAACCCTGTAAGCCGTGTCGTCAGTCGCCCCTCCCTCCGTCAGAGCAACGGCAGACAATCGTTCCGCGCCTTTTTTCTGTGCGGACGCCATACCAAGGCAAGCATGGAGGCCGCTCAGCTCACTTTGGCAATTAGGAGCACATTAAACACCACACGCATTATCCAGCAGTATATGCAGCACCAGAACCTGGCAAAGCGATACCGGGCGAGGAGGCGACGTCAGCGCGGTCCCGTGAGTGATCAGGACATGGACACAGATTTCTCTGAAAGCATGGGCCCTGCCAATGCATGCATCATGGTGCTAATGGGGCAGGTTCATGCTGTGGAACGCCGATTCTGGGCTCGGGAAACAAGCACAGACTGGTGGGACCGCATAGTGTTGCAGGTCTGGGACGATTCCCAGTGGCTGCGAAACTTTCGCATGCGTAAGGGCACTTTCATGGAACTTTGTGACTTGCTTTCCCCTGCCCTGAGGCGCATGAATACCAAGATGAGAGCAGCCCTCACAGTTGAGAAGCGAGTGGCGATAGCCCTGTGGAAGCTTGCAACGCCAGAGAGCTACCGGTCAGTTGGGAATCAATTTGGAGTGGGCAAATCTACTGTGGGGGCTGCTGTGATGCAAGTAGCCCACGCAATCAAAGATCTGCTGATATCAAGGGTAGTGACCCTGGGAAATGTGCAGGTCATAGTGGATGGCTTTGCTGCAATGGGCTTCCCTAACTGTGGTGGGGCTATAGACGGAACCCATATCCCTATCTTGGCACCGGAGCACCAAGCCGCCGAGTACATAAACCGCAAGGGGTACTTTTCGATAGTGCTGCAAGCTCTGGTGGATCACAAGGGACGTTTCACCAACATCAACGTGGGATGGCCGGGAAAGGTGCATGATGCTCGCATCTTCAGGAACTCTGGTCTGTTTCAAAAGCTGCAGGAAGGGACTTTATTCCCAGACCAGAAAATAACTGTTGGGGATGTTGAAATGCCTATATGTATCCTTGGGGACCCAGCCTACCCCTTAATGCCATGGCTCATGAAGCCGTACACAGGCAGCCTGGACAGTAGTCAGGAGCTGTTCAACTACAGGCTGAGCAAGTGCAGAATAGTGGTAGAATGTGCATTTGGACGTTTAAAGGCACGCTGGCGCAGTTTACTGACTCGCTTAGACCTCAGCGAAACCAATATTCCCACTGTTATTACTGCTTGCTGTGTGCTCCACAATATCTGTGAGAGTAAGGGAGAGACGTTTATGGCGGGGTGGGAGGTTGAGGCAAATCGCCTAGCTGCTGGTTACGCGCAGCCAGACACCAGGGCGGTTAGAAGAGCACAGGAGGGCGCGGTACGCATCAGAGAAGCTTTGAAAACCAGTTTCATGACTGGCCAGGCTACGGTGTGAAAGTTCTGTTTGTTTCTCCTTGATGAAACCCCCCGCCCCTTGGTTCACTCTACTTCCCTGTAAGCTAACCACCCGCCCCTCCTCCCTTCAATCACCGCTTGCAGAGGCAATAAAGTCATTGTTGCTTCACATTCATGCATTCTTTATTCATTCATCACACAAATAGGGGGATGACTACCAAGGTATCCCAGGAGGGGTGGTGGAGGAGGGAAGGAAAATGCCACACAGCACTTTAAGCACTGCACTTTAAAAGTTTACAACTTTAAAATTTATTGAATGACAGCCTTCTTTTTTTTGGGCAATCCTCTGTGGTGGAGTGGCTGGTTGGCCGGAGGCCCCCCCACCGCATTCTTGGGCGTCTGGGTGTGGAGGCTATGGAACTTGGGGAGGAGGGCGGTTGGTTACAGAGGGGCAGCAGTGGCAGTCTGTGCTCGAGCTGCCTTTGCTGCAGCTCAACCATACACTGGAGCATACTGGTTTGGTCCTGCAGCAGCCTCAGCATTGAATCCTGCCTCCTCTCATCACGCTGCCGCCACATTTGAGCTTGAGCCCTCTCTTCAGCCCGCCACTTACTCTCTTCAGCCCGCTACTTACTCTCTTCAGCCCGCCACCTCTCCTCCCGGTCATTTTGTGCTTTCCTGCACTCTGACATTATTTGCCTCCACGCATTCGTCTGTGCTCTGTCAGTGTGGGAGGACAGCATGAGCTCGGAGAACATTTCATCGCGAGTGCGTTTTTTTTTCTTTCTAATCTTCACTAGCCTCTGGGAAGGAGAAGATCCTGTGATCATTGAAACACATGCAGCTGGTGGAGAAAAAAAAAAGGGACAGCGGTATTTAAAAAGACACATTTTATAAAACTGTGGCTACACTCTTTCAGGGTAAACCTTGCTGTTAACATTACATACATAGCACATGTGCTTTCGTTACAAGGTCGCATTTTGCGTCCTCCCACCGCGTGACTACCCCCTCAACCTTCCCCCCTCCCTGTGGCTAACAGCGGGGAACATTTCTGTTTAGCCACAGGCAAACAGCCCAGCAGGAATGGGCTCCTCTGAGTGTCCCCTGAAGAAAAGCACTCTATTTCAACCAGGTGACCATGAATTATATCTCACTCTCGTGAGGATAACACAGAGAGATAAAGAACGGATGTTGTTTGAATGCCAGCAAACATACACTCCAATGCTTTGTTCTACAATGATTCCCGAGTACGTGTTACTGGCCTGGAGTGGTAAAGTGTCCTACCATGGAGGACGCAATAAGGCTGCCCTCCCCAGAAACCTTTTGCAAAGGCTTTAGGACTACATCTAGGAGAACCGCAAGTGCCAGGGCAAAGTAATCCTTTCACATGCTTGCTTTTAAACCATGTATAGTATTTTAAAAGGTACACTCACCAGAGGTCCCTTCTCCGCCTGCTGGGTCCAGGAGGCAGCCTTGGGTGGGTTCGGGGGGTACTGGCTCCAGGTCTAGGGTGAGAAACAGTTCCTGGCTGTCGGGAAAACCGGTTTCTCCGCTTGCTTGCTGTGAGCTATCTACAACCTCCTCCTCCTCATCATCTTCTTCGTCCCCAAAACCTGCTTCCGTATTGCCTCCATCTCCATTGAAGGAGTCAAACAACACGGCTGGGGTAGTGGTGGCTGAACCCCCTAAAATGGCATGCAGCTCATCATAGAAGCGGCATGTTTGGGGCTCTGACCCAGAGCGGCTGTTCACCTCTCTGGTTTTCTGGTAGGCTTGCCTCAGCTCCTTCAGTTTCACGCGGCACTGCTTCGGGTCCCTGTTATGGCCTCTGTCCTTCATGCCCTGGGAGATTTTCACAAAGGTTTTGGCATTTCGAAAACTGGAACGGAGTTCTGATAGCATGGATTCCTCTCCCCAAACAGCGATCAGATCCCGTACCTCCCGTTCGGTCCATGCTGGAGCTCTTTTGCGATTCTGGGACTCCATCATGGTCACCTGTGCTGATGAGCTCTGCATGGTCACCTGCAGCTTGCCACGCTGGCCAAACAGGAAATGAGATTCAAAAGTTCGCGGTTCTTTTCCTGTCTACCTGGCCAGTGCATCTGAGTTGAGAGTGCTGTCCAGAGCGGTCATAATGGAGCACTCTGGGATAGCTCCCGGAGGCCAATACCGTCGAATTGTGTCCACAGTACCCCAAATTCGAGCCGGCAACATCGATTTAAGCGCTAATCCACTTGTCAGGGGTGGAGTAAGGAAATCGATTTTAAGAGCCCTTTAAGTCGAAATAAAGGGCTTCATTGTGTGGACGGGTGCAGGTTTACATCGATTTAACGCTGCTAAATTCGACCTAAAGTCCTAGTGTAGACCAGGGCCTTGAGAACCATTGTGGTATGAAATGGCCCAGAAGCTGTTTAATGGACATGCAGGATCTGCCTTTCAAAGAATTATGCACTTTTGACAAGCAAGTTTTTTTTTTTTTCCCCCTCTTCACATGCTGAAGATGTATCTACATGGAAGAATTAGAATTTGTATTACAACAATAGGTGAAGTTTCACCTGTGCTAAGCTGCTAGCACACATGGGACTCCGGTACTTCTGCCTGTGAATAACTCTGCTCTGAGGAGGTTGATAGCACTGTTGTAAACAGCTTGCTGTTGCTGGTGCAGCTGAACTATTGCTGGTAGTTGCTGTAATACAGGTACTGACTTTTGTAGACCTTGACCGCTCTAGAGAGTTATGGCTCTGAAAAATGATGCAATTCTGTAAGTGGTAGCCGTGGTGGCAGATGGTACTCAGGCATTTTTGCCAGCATGTAAAACTACTCTCAGTTTTTGAGTCTCTTACTGTTGAGGTTTCAGAGTAGCAGCCGCATTAGTCTGTATTCGCAAAAAGAAAAGGAGGACTTGTGGCACCTTAGAGACTAACCAATTTATTTGAGCATAAGCTTTCGTGAGCTATAGCTCATGCTCAAATAAATGTTAGTCTCTAAGGTGCCACAAGTCCTCCTTTTCTTTTTCTTTACAGTTGAGCATTGTGACGAAGTGGGACTGTTCTTAATGGTTCCTCTGAATAGTGTGGGGGTGCCTCAGTTTCCCCTAGGCAGTTCTTAAGTATCTAGGGGGTGGAGTAAGGGTGTATGATCATTGCAGAGCCCTAGAGGGTATGTGTGTGCAGGAGTCTGGACACAGAGAATGGCCGACACCCTGTTTCCTGGCAACTGATGGCCTGGGCCCTTCCCCCCTGCAAGGTGAGAGCTGAAGGGTTGGAGAACAAAGGAATCAGGTGACCACCTGGCCCGGGAAAGGAACAAAGCCCAGAGGAGGAGGGGCTGGAGGGGTTTTCAGTTTGGGGCTGGCTGGGACATGGAGTGAAGTGCAGACGTGGTTGTCTGGCTCACTGCCCCCCAAAATGGACCCAGCTGAGGGGTCCCGTTCTCTGCACCTGCAAGCTCTGTTTTAGACCATGTTCCTGTCGTCTAATAAACCTTCTGTTTTACTGGCTGGCTGAGAGTCACGTCTGACTGCGAAGTTGGGGTGCAGGACCCTCTGGCTTCCCCAGGAGCCCCGCCTGAGCGGACTCGCTGTGGGAAGCGCACGGAGGGGCAGAGGATGCTGAATGCTCCGAGGTCAGACCCAGGAAGGTGGAAGCTGTGTGAGCTGCGTGTCCTGAAGACAGGCTGCTCACAGAAAGGCGACTGCCCCAGAGTCATGACTGGCTTCATGGGGAGCAGTTCCAGAGCATCGCCCAGGGACTCCGTGACAAGCATGCACCATCTTGATGTTTGTGGAATATAGCAAAACCCAGAAGCATGGTCCAAAGGAAAGTCGTATGATTTAGATGTTAAAGGATTGTGTTCTGTGTATCTCAGCAGAGACATCTTAGCATTATGAATTTTTTTTATTTTATTTCATTATTTATTTTTGTATAGCTGTTCTTGTACTACATGTCAGAACTTTTGTTTTTAAGGATTTTAAAGGGCTCAGGAGTTGGGGTGATGGTGGGGATGCGTTTCAGTGGCATGGTGGTGATTTTAATCTGCTAGTATTAATGCACCCTTTGCCCATGATCAGTTTCACCGTGGGAACTCCACAGTTGGCAACAGAGACTTTTGGCCACTAGTTGAGAATCTTAGCTGGAATGGTAGGGAACTTCCTCTTCAATGAGTGTCCATTTTCACTGTCTGCACCTGACAGCTCAGCATCACACTGGTGGCAGTTGGCAGACGCTTCTCAAGCCCTGAACCATTCAGAACTACTGGCTCTTGTTCTTCTTTGCTCCAGGAAGCCGCCTTCATGAAGTGTGGGTGAGAGAGAGAGCAGCTATTTCACAGCAGAGGACTAGCATGTATTACTCTAATATGAGGACCCTTCAGCAGGAAAGTGCTGAGCAGGATCATGTCCTTTGCTGAGGGGTCAAGATAGCTCCCTAAGCATTGCATCTCATCCTACTTTCTAGAATATTTTTTGATAGGACAGCTCTGAGAATGGGCATCTTCTCTGGTCTTCAGTGATTTTGGGGGTGGGGGGCAACTGCAGCACTTTGCACCTTCTGTGGTAAGTTACTCAGGATTCAGTGGTGTAAATCACTAAAATTATTTGCAGAAGCAACTGGTGTTTACCCCTTTCTTTGGCAAACATAGCAATCTTGCCTCTAAATCAGCCTGATAGACAGGTTTCTATTATTACTCCACAGTCTCTCTTGGCAGAGAGAGAGGAAATTGATTTGGGTAAAATATTGCAGTGCCTTAAATTTAATCTTTATATCTTTAAGGTATGTGGATTAAACATACTTCAATTCTGTGTTTTCATTCATTGGCCCAAATTCTGCTCTCAGATAGGTTACATTAAAGGCATTACATCTCAGAGGTTTATAAATTTTATAGGGAGTAATAAAATAGGAGTCCTTGTAGTTTAACCTTAAATGAATTACATTAAAGGCATTACATCTCAGAGCATTACAAATGCAGCTTTAGTGACGTCACTGGAAGCAAAAGCAGAATTAAGTCCATAATGTGGCCAACATTCTCTAATTCTAATGGGGTTTGGCTTTGTCCTAAGGGATGTTTCTCATGATGCCTTATAGCATGGAACATGTAGTTGTATCTTTAAATTGCAATAATGTAATAGAACAAAGATGGTTCTGCTTTAACTATTAAAATATCTACATTTCTCTTTCAGAAGAGATCAACCCTGGCCTTGGTGTGTGTGGATGGCTGCTAGTGATCTTTTCATTCTTCTTCGTCCTTATTACCTTTCCAGTCTCAATCTGGCTGTGCATAAAGGTAAAGACGTTCACATGAAAGCTTGATCTAAAGTTTAAAAGGTGCAGGATGTTTCCTAATAATTTAACAACATTGTCCAATTTACTGTTTTGTCTCAAAACCCAGCTGTTCCTGATCCCTCTTTGACCATAACACATGGTTTAGGACAGTCCTTAACATCTCAGGGTATTCAAGCACAAGAATTGCCATGTTTCTGTAATATCAGTCATAAGGCTAATTTCAGTGGCATCTCAATTACTGCTCTGTAGGAAGGAAGAGGAGAGGGAAAATGCTGAGAGGTTGCAGGAGGAGAGAGGAATCCCAAATTTTCATCCCTGTCTAAACTGCATTGGAGGGTCAAAATAATAGCAAGAACAAGTATTAATTTTGAAGATACACTCCTTACATTTATAATGGAATGACAAGCATTTACAAGGTTGTGTCATCACTCAGTTCCCTGAGCTTGGGGTTTCTGGACCCTAGGGAAATGCTAACTTCTGCTTATATTTTGGCTTAATCTAAATCCACCATGCATTTTGAATGCATTTCAATTGGGGCAGAGGAAATTATAATCCTTTTATTAAAAAGAAAAAAACACAACACAACTTGAAAATTTAGAAATGGAAAGGCCATTAGACCCTATCTAGTCCGTCTGCCCGCCTCAGTGCAACAGTGCTCCTGATAGTATTTCCAATGTTTTGTCCCCCTCCAGGTGACAGAGCTGCCACCTCTATCCTTAGAAAATTACTCCACTCCCCAAAAGATTTAATCCTTTAGAATATTTTTAGTATATGTTGCTTAGAACAGGTGGGGTGAGGACATGAAAAGTATGCATGATATGTTCTGCAAGACCAGAGACTGTTCAGAGTTATCCTTAATATATTTGAAATCCAAGATATTATATCTAAATTCTTGATGGAGACTTTTGTATTAAACATCTGATTTCTCATTACAGATCATAAAGGAATATGAGCGAGCCATCATCTTTAGACTTGGACGCATCGGAAGGGGGGGAGCAAAAGGACCAGGTCAGTCCTGTGTAGGATCCAGTATAAGGCATGTAATTCAGTTATAGGATGATCTGCAAGATGAAAGCACATTGGCCATGTAAAGGCACTTTATTAGCTTGATACTTTTTTTTTTAAATTGACCCACCAGAATGAATGAATGGATTTCTTTGAAATTTAACTCAAACAAATAGGCATTGGGTGGCCTATCTTAGCTTAAAGTAAATGTTAATTGCCTAGAAAATAAAATATTTCAAAATTATATTACATGTCAGGTCCCCTGGAGTTTAATGGTGGTAATTTTCTGAGCAAAACTGAAGAAATTTTTATTTCCCTCTCTAATTTATTGGAGGGACTGTATGGTGTTGGACGTGTCTTTCAAACTAATTTCAGTAAAACTCCTCTTATCAAGTAGCCCCAATTATATCTAGTGGAGTTAAGGTCTTCAGCTTGCATTGGTTACATTGAATAGTTCTTTGTTTATACAGAGATTCCCTGTCCCCCAGGCTATTTGGATATATAGAATTCTACTCTTTACAATGGGTGCGATTTCTTTTGGAACATGCTCTACCTTTAGGGTGCTCAGGGTCTGAGGGCTAACTTGCCTAACAAATACATAAAAATTATAAATTGTTGTAATTTTGTAGGGAGTAATACAATAGGAGTCCTTGTAGTTTAACCTTAAATTAATTCCATTAAAGGCACTGGATTCATAGCCCTTGAGAATGAAGGCTTCTGCTTATCCAGTGAGTAGTATGTTACAGGCAGTGACTCCCTAGCTTCCCTGTCTCCTCCTTACGAAGTGAGCCTCATCCAGCCCTCCTTGGGCTATGCATATTTTTAGGGGAGAATAGGGAACAATTTATGAAACAAGCAATCTAATCAAATTAAGGCATTTTTTTGAAAATTAATATGTGGGGTAAAGTTTTCAAAAATGCCTACATGACTTAAGAGCCTAGATGCTTTTGAAAATGGGACTTAGGTTCCTAAGTCCCTTAGGCACTTTTGAAAACTTTATCTGTGTATTTTAGAAGTGTGCCAGGACCTTAAAGGATTACAACATTGATTTCAGCTGTCAAGCCTAATGCTGGGAATGAGGAGCGGAAGCACTCATTTCCTGTCGTATCATCCCACAATCTTGGTGCTTCTGGAATGTTTCCCCATGTCTGGCACATTGGAAGTAAATAATGACATCCCCTCCCCGGTGCCATAGAATGTTAATAACGCCTGCCTCCAAGAACTAGTTCCTACAAGTAGCCACTTGGGACCAGATTTTCAAAAGAGCTCAGCTCCCTAAACCAGAGTCAGATTTGCAGAAGAGTTGAATG